AAGCAAAATTTTTGGATAACATACTTTGTAGAAAGAAATGAATAAAGGGAAAATTTTGAAACAAATAAAGGAAAAATACTAAAAGACACGCCTCTCTCCCCAAACTGGTCCAACCTTTAGTACAGACTTCTAATTTGTGTGTGTGTGTGTGTGTGTGTGTGTGCGCGGTGCGCGCACACCAGTCCTGGGGCTTGAATTCAGGGCATGAGCACTGATATTGAGCTTTTCTTTTTGCTCAAGGCTAGCGCTCTACCACTTGAGCCACAGCGCCATTTCTGGTTTTCTTATGTGGTGCTGAGGAATCGAACCCAGGGCCTCAGGCATGCAAGGCAAGCGCTCTACCACTGAGCCACCTTCCCAGCCCTTCTGCATTTGTTAGCCAACTGAATAGAGTTCATTTTTCTTTCTTTTCTTCTGTGCCAGTACTGTAAGGACTTGAGCTCAAGGCCTCATGCTCCAAGACTGACACTTGAGCCACAACACCTCTACTTCTAGCTTTCTGCTGGTTAATCAAAGACATGGAACTTGCATTTGTCTGCCTAAGCTGGCTTTGAACCACCGTTATCGTACTTTTCTTAAATGAATCTACTTAAAATTTAAGATGCTGTACTTAAAATTTCAGAATTTGCATGTGAACACTTTTGCTTTTTAGGTGCCTAAGGCCTAGAGCCAAAGTACACATTTACCTCCCAACTTTTCACTGCCATTTTCTGAAGCAAGTCTAAACTCCAATTTAGAAATCAGATTCAAGTCTAGACCTTGTACACTGAGATCGGTGCTTCAAAGACGCCCACAGCACCGGCACGCTTCGGCTCTTGGATAAAAAACCTTTCACTCGCAATGTTAGAAGGCACGAAGACAGAGACAGCTTGCTGTTGTGCCTTTCTAATTCTTTCTCTTCTGAATTTCTTTTTTTTTTTTTTTTTGTCGGTCGTGGGGCTTGAACTCTGGGCCTGGGCGCTGTCCCTCAGCTCTTCAGCTCAAGGAGAGCGCTCTACCACTTGAGCTATAGCACCACTTCCGGTTTTCTGGTGGTTTATTGGAGATAGGAGTTTCACGGTCTCTCCTGCCCGGGCTGGCTTTGAACCGCGATCCTCAGATCTCAGCCTCCTGAGTAGCTAGGATTACAGGCGTGAGCCACCAGCACCCGGCTCTCTTCTGAATTTCAAACAGGAAACCTAGAAAGAGCTGTCCATGGGCTGAACGGAGGGGAAACGAATTGGCTGTGCTTCTAGATCAGCTCCAGTCTCAGAAAGCCCTTCCCAAATCCCAGTCTAGCAGGGCTTAGCTGTAGGACTGGACAGCAGTAAAGCGACCCTCTGTCCTCTGCGCAGACTGTGCGGCAGACTATTCTACTGGGCATGGCTTGTAGCCAGGAAGATTTCCTCTCTACCCTTTTTGTCTATCAAAAAATATATCTACAAATATGTAATTCATCTAACAATTACACACTAGTCTCATGATTGGAAAAAAAGGATTAACAAGCTTCTGTTTTCAAGGAAAAGGTGTAAACTCAGCCTCTGGCTGGCTCTGCTTGCTTGCTCCGCTGGTACCCCCCCCCCCCCCGTCCATCTCTTGTTTTGGATATGGAGTCTAATGGGCTTTTCTACTTAGGCTGGCATTGGGAATATCTGGAGCGTACCCAGCGCTGTGGGTGGGGGCACCAGTGCCCAGCTTACAAACTACATGTTACAAAGAACTATTACCGGGCTGGGAAGTGGTAGTGTGCTTGGCTAGCATGCATGAGGCCCTGGGCTCGATTCCTCAGTACCATATACACAGAAAAGGCTGAAGTGGTACTGTGGCTCAAGAGGCAGAGCACTAGCCCTGAACAAAAGAAGCTCAGGGACATCAGTCAGGCCCCGAGTTCAAGCCTCAGGACTGGCAAAATATATATATATATATATATATATATTATTATTATTATTATCATCAAGCCAGGCACCAGTAGCCCAGGCTTGTAATCCTAGCAACTCAAGAGGTTGAAATCTCAGTTCAAAGCAAGCCTGGACAGAAAAGTCTAAGAGACTGCATCTCCAATTAATAACAAAACTGTTGACGGGAGGTGAGGCTAACTATTAGAGCTAGCAAGAGCCCTGTGTTCAAGTTTAATGTGTGTCTGCCACCACTAACGGTCATGGCTGCTCCACTAATACGATAAAAGCCTATGAAATTTGTAGAGAAATGCGTGTCAGATGTTAAGAGACCCACTGCTTGGAGAATGATACTGAAGTAATATTTGGATGAAGCTCTCAGCAATCTAAAAGCTGCGGGGGCTGCTTGCAGAAGAACATGGTGCTGGCTGACCGCAGACTGCCAAGTGCACAAGGGAAGGATTGGACCACACACTTTAGCTTTTTTTTGGTTGGTTGTAGGACTTGAACTCAGGGCTTGGGTGTTGTCCCTGAGCCTCTCTGTGCTCAAGGCTAGAGCTCTACCACTTGAGCCACTTCTGATTTTTAAGTGAACTGGAGATAGGAGTCTCACAGGAACTTTTCTGCCCAGGCTGGCTTTGAACTGCGATCCTCAGATCTCAGCCTGCTGAGAAGCTAGGATGACAGGCTTAAGCCACAGGCGCCAGCTCACTTAAGCTTTTTGTGTGCTAGTACTGTGGCCTGAACTCAAGAGATTTGCACTCTTGCCTGGGTATCTTGCTCACAATGAGCCCTCCACCAGTCTACTTGTCCAGACTTCGCTGGTTAACTGGACTAATGGTCACTCAGACTTTTCTACCTGGTCTGGCTTCCAAGTGAGATCCTTCCCATCTTGGCCTCCTACAGGAGGATCAGCAGGAGCCACCTGCAGCACTTGGCCTGCACTCTTTTTTAAACAGTTGGAATTTTCCATAATAAAGAAAATGAAGGCTGGGAAGGTGGCTCAGTGGTAGAGCGCTTGCCTCGCATGCATGAGGCCCTGGGTTCGATTCCTCAGCACCACATAAACAGAAAAAGCTGGAAGTAGCTTCTGTGGCTCAAGTGGTACAGTATAAGCCTTGAGCAAAAGAAGCTCAGGGACAGCAACAGCGCCCAGGTCCCGAGTTCAAGCCCCAGGACAAAAAAAGAAAAAGAAGAAAGAAAAAGGAAAAAGAAAATGAAAACCTCACTTTTAAGATGAAAGAAAACACACCAGCCCAGAGGTGGCCTACTGCAGCTGGCTGAGGAAAAGGAAATGCTCACAAACACTTAAAGGGAGGGGCCGGTCAGCTTCTTCTTCTTGTTTGTAAACTTTATTGTCCAGGTGATGGGCAGAGGGCTACAGTCTAACTTGTCACCCTCCCCTCAGCTCTCTCCCTCGTCCCCCTCCCCCCAGCGTCTTCTAAAAACAGAAGACAAGTAAAATCTGAGGGAGCACTCACCAGGCGCTTTGAGTCTTCACTTTGTTTATAAAAGAACAGAAGCTGCCGTACCAGGAAGGTAAGGTTTGGAGCACTTGCAACGGAGGTGCCGCGAGCCTGGGCTGCGCTGGCACAGCGGTCAAACGCGCTTCTCTGAATGGAGTACTGCAAGCCAAGGGAGGGACACGTAAATGTGTAATTCGGACACAGTGACAGGTCTAAATAAACCTCAGCAAACCTTATTCCTGCTGGGGAACAAGGTCTTAACACTCACTAAGCAGCACCTTTTACCCTTCCTGCTATTCATCAGCTGTGGTCTGGCCCGTGTTTATATCTCATAATTTTATTTTTGGGGTCAGGTC